GAATGATTTGCATTTTTTAAACCATTACTCTTCGTTATGGAATGTAAATAATTTTCCTTGTGGCGGTATCGAGTTCTGAACTCAACTGGTTATAATCTGGCTACAGAAGTCTTTTCTCAAAATATCTAGGATCATTATCCTCTAATGTTACAATGAAATAAATGTTGTAGTTCAATTTTATAATCCTATGTGTTCGAGTATGATGATGGGTGATGATGAGTTTAAAACAAAAGAAGTTAAAATTTCCACAACATAAACAGCGCGTCCACGGTTTCAAAAAGCTCGTTGTCGCGGCTTCGCTACGCGGTTTATGATTTAGGATGAAGGAAGAAAAAAACACTTTGGCCCCCAGAGCACGCTGGTCAGGCAAATCGATCGTACAGATATCGCTAGTGTGATGGGTTCCAATCCCGTTAAGTATTGTTCTCCACGTCCCTTTTCGTAATTCCCGCGATTCCATACATAACATTGATAAACATTTCGTTATTTAACGCTGATCGTCGCAGTTAGATGAACAACAACAAATTTATCTGAATAATTACTATTTATGAGGATATTACGAACAATCGAAAATTTTGTGCTGCATTGGACATTATTTATAGGATTAAGGAGATAAGTTTTCAAGTAAAAAATTTTCTATAACACTAAAAAATACAGAATTTGCAAAGAGCTTACCCTTTCCCGTTTTTACTGTGCTCGTCTCGCGGTAAATGCACCCTGATAACTTTGATACTAGGTACGTTGTTCTGCAGGCCGATAGCCAGAAGGCGATTGAGGGGACAGGCTGTTAAACAGGACACTTCACTTTCCACATCAATTACACTTAGAAGTTCACCAGATTTGACGTTAACCAGTGCAACTGTTACATCAGAACGATAAAAAACACAATTTTCATCACTGATAAACTTACAATGACGAAACTGATAAGGAAACGACGGCAAAATATGGAGTCTGTTTCCTGTTTGCGCATCCAGGACTAACAGGCCTCCAGTCATCCATACGATAAGGAACTGTTCCATAGGGGAGAACAGAGCACCCTTACAAAACTGCTTTGTGAGACCGACGTCCTTTTTCCAAACACTTGCGCCATCCAACAACTGAAGTGAGCCAGAGTCACTAAGGGTTAATAGCTGACATTTACTGTTGAGCGTAAGAACACTTCCGTCTAAAACTGGGATTGTTGACACGATTTCTCCACTTCTTGCATCCACGACTTTTACGTCAAACACTCTTATGAACGCTACTTGCCCTTCTGAAATAGGAATTATCTGTTTGACACCAGACAGGCTGCTCCACGTTTTTATACATTTAGACAGGCTATAATCCCACCACTCAACGGTATCCTCCGTTGGAATTAGGACACCACCTTTCACGGGGCACAAAGGAGAGCGCCTTGGACCCATGACGTTTCTCTCAGCTTTAAGCTTCCCACTTTCAGCGTCCCAAGCAGTATCTGATGTGTCACTGGCAACATACACGGTCTGCCCATCCAAACTCAGTGCTATTCCAGTCGGTTTGGTAGCTACGTCTTGACTTCTTTTGTTTACCTTCTTGGTATCCACCATTTCTATTGCACTCCGTGTGCACTGTAACAGACGTTGATCATCAAGAACAAACGTCAAGTAGTAATTCAAATGGTCTGCGGTAAAAAGATCTCCAGATGAAAAACCACAATCATTAAAAGACTGAAAATTCTCGAAATTATAAGTAACATCATCAGAACCCTCAAAAGAGAAGGTATTGGGGGTCTCCTTAATTACCCTGAGACAAAAGAAGCGGGGGCATAAGCGTTTTACTTGGCAACAAAAGAGAGACCGATAATCAGGTGAAAACTTAACCACGCCGCATACTTCTCGGACATCTACTTTTGCCCTTGTGCTACAACCATGCATCATATCAACTAAGCAAATCGATCCTGATGAATGGGAAATTGCAAGCAGCCTTTCATTGCGAGACCACGCAAAAGATAAAATGTCATCATCTCTCTGGATCCGATCGAGCAATGAGCCATTTTGCAAACTCCACAAGACAAGGCATTTAGAATCCTTAAGGCAATTAGTTAGAATCTTGGTCTTGTCGCCGGAAATAGAGCAAACTGAGAATCTACAGTTACTTCCGGGAAAGAGCGGTGTCAAGTCTCCGTCCATAGTGTAGGCCTGACTTAGACTCCCAGGTAAAACAACTTCTCTAGTTGGGTGGAAAACAACAGAGCGAAATAAACAAGTTATATCTGCAGAAGGCAACTTTCGTATCGGGAGAGAAATGTCCAGGTTGTAAGTCTTTGTTATTATGACTGGACGTGTCCACAATAGCCTGCCAGTAAGAAGTGACCACAGCTGGAGCTTTCCGTCGTTACATTCACACACCATGTAATCCAGCTGAGGAGAGACGTCCAAACAGGCCACATGAGATGAACATTGAAATTGGGCTACAACACCACCCTGATGCATCTCCTTAAGAACAATCTCCATATATGTTATTTCAGGATACTTGATCCGCAAAAGATTCGATGCCTCTACAGTTAAAACTTTCCCTCCTTGGTTAAGTACGGTTTGAAGAAAAATACGAGGAGCATCGGTAAATCTACGCCGGTACTTTCTCAACAGAAACAACAAAGTGTCCAGAATACTTTGGTTATCTTCTGATAAAACGGTAGAGACACCCTCCTTTTTTAGCCAGACGAGATCTTCAGCGGCTAATGTACTGTTTACGCAGGTCTTGGCATACACTATTTCTAAATCTAAAATGCAAGCCTTTGTTAGTTCGTCCAGCTTATGTGGCTCTCTCTTGACGCTTTTCTGTAACATGTGACGTGCACCATGGTATAGCGCGTACCTCTCCGTGGTGCTAAATTGTACATTGTCTACACCTCTTCGCTTTAAATAATCAAGTTCTTCAGTACAAAGATCTGCTAATATACGATGACCTTCGTTCTCTCCCGTGATAAATTCATGCTCCCCATAACATGAGGTGTCCGTTAACCAGTCTTTAACTGACTTGTGAATAACGTGAAGACACTCGTAACGGATGGGAAGAAGTGTGGACACACTACCCAGGGCTTTCGATACTGTTCGCTTTGCAAGTGGTGAATTAGTGACTGGTACCAATACTTTAGAGACAAAACTTACTGGAAGGGGTTCTCTTGCAGCGGTAATAGCAGATACCAAATTAAGGAAATGTTCTTTCTCTATGCCGAGTTCCCTCACGAGTTCGTTTTCCAAACGTTTGAAGTAGGAATGGTAGACTGAAGAAATTCCTTCTGGCAAGATGTCATCAAGGTCCCCTTTGAGGAAAGGCGATGCATTTTCAGTAAAAGTCAAAACGAGGAAATGGGCATAAAGCATGAGGCCTTCAGATTTCAAAACTAATTTTCCTACAACCTCGTTCAGATGTTCTGGATTGACCACGTACTGCAGCTTCTTTACAAAAAACACCCTGATATCCTCAAGATTCTTTTTATCATCAGACTTCAGTTCAAACGGTTTCAAATGTTTAAGTTTCTCTGCAATGTTTAGGGCTGCACGCGTGGTAATAAAAAAACGAATCCAAATAGGAAGCTTACAAAACTGAGAAGCAATCACATCAAGGAGGTCATTTCGTCCTTGGTATTCGCTTTCATCCAAACCATCTATCACCATGAGCATGTTTCTTCCCGGGTCACCTACAGCACTAAGAGGTTCCTTAAAAAGCAGTGCAAACAACTCCTCCACACCCATGTTGTTTAGATCAATGCCCACATTTCTGGATAGCTGTTTCACGAGGGCTTGCTTGTACTCCGGAAGGGCATGGGACAAGTGACAGGCTAAGGACTGAATTATTAACTGAGGCTTAGAGTAGCGTACATTATTATACTGACAAAAGTGGCTTCCTGAAAGTCTGCCGGTTTTTTGCATTCTCTTGCAAATCGCAGCTGCGATGATTGATTTTCCCATTCCTGCATTTCCACTGATCACCATTACACGGTTTTGACAGCTTCTGTCATCCAGCCAGTTCTGAACTCTATCAAAGACCCACTCACGGGTACCTTCCTGAAATCGCTCTGCGAAATACTCAATATCTCCTCTGAATTCCGAGTTGGTAAGATTTCTAAGGACTTCGTCTGCCTTGTCGTTGTCTCTTCCTTCTTTCAAACTCTCCACTGTTTTCTTTATTTCCTTGAGACCTGCTGCAACTTCTGTCACGTTCTGAGTAACGTTTTCAACGCTTTGTTGAGTCTTGGTCTGGGCCTGATGTATGTCTTCCACCTTCTTTTGTGTCTTGGTCTGGGCCTTATGTATGTCTTCCACAGTCTTCTGAGTCTTGACTTGGGTCTGACGTACATTTTCAACCGCTTGTTGCGTTATTGTCTGAGACTGATGCACCTCCTTCAATTGTGACTTGATATCCTCTTCACTGTCAGCCCAGTCAATTAATACTTTGACATAATCTTGCTCTCCACCTTCCTCTGCCCTCAGCCTATCTACGTCTGCCTGATCAAGGCCAAGGTTTACAAGAACACCACTAATTTCAGTCCACAGAGCAGAGAAAGTTGGAGTATCAACACCAGTGGTTGTCACATGACCATACAAGATATTGCGATAGAACTTAACACGTGCGAGGTTTGCCTCACGAGACGTGTCACTTGGGGGTGGTTTAGTGTGCCAACCTGAAGGGGGAGGGGTTAATCCAGAAATGTTGGACAGAAGGAGAAACAGAAGAGTTATGTCAAAGGTGTGGGAGTCTGGTGCGGCTCCACTTGGTGGGAATAGTTTGGTCCACTGATGTCGATTCAGAACTCGTCGACGCAGGAGGTTGTTAAGAATTGAGTAATTTGAATTGAAGTCAGCAATCAAGTTTGCAGGCGGGTGATGGCGATCAAAAACCTTCCTCAGAACTGTTGTTCCACCGTCGATAACGAGCCTGCTAAGCTTTGCTCCGTTTGACTTCTCCACAGAACTGGCTAGAGGTGACGATGCTGCAGAAGTCATTGATGTTGCAAGTGGAACCTTTTGTCTTAATGGTCCTAAATACCATAAAAAAATAAAACAGTACTGTTACTATTGCTCTATTTTAGGTATCCACGGCCGAAGAGCGAGAAGTTTGCAAAGAATTTTGAAAGTTCATTCAGTAACGCGCTTAAATTGATGTGCAGAAGTTAATTCAACATACAATTGACATAGTTACTATAGTTATATGACTCTAACGTTTTAAACGAATTGTCAGGACGAGCTGAAGGATCTCGTCAAAACAGACGTTGTGAACTGTTTCGATAGAAATTATAAACTTTATTGATGAGCTGCGCCTTCACCTTATTGATCATGAACGTAAGAGGAGTTGCTTTGTTACCAACATTTTCACAATATTTGTTTACATATGAGCGTACAGGAATGTGTTTTAATTTGTTTTCTCATTGCCACTTAACTCAGGCGGAAAATGGTGTAAAAAGTGTAAACTGCCGGGAAAACATGTACAAATGTCCTTCTATTTGAAACTTAAAGACTGCTGGAAAGTTTGTCGCAAATTGTTACCAGGCCTACTACTTTCGTTTGGCGAGTACGTGTATATTATTTGTGAAGCCGAATGACAGTTCGATACATCTTCGACAATTTGCTCTCTTCTTCGCTCACTGCAGCAGTATTTTTAAAAAGAGCTGGCTTCTTCCAAGCACTGTTTATGGTTGATGTTTTGGAAGCGATCTTTGTCAGTGACTAAACTTCATTTGATTTACTTTCACCTGCGAAAAAGGTAGTTGTGCTCTCCTTTGCTTCTGTGACCGCTTGAGTTTGGGAAGCAATACCTACATGTCCACCGCATTCAGTCTAAGAATAACATTTGCGCTCTATTCTCTCGTCTACTACCATACCACAGTGAAAACACCAGTTCTCGTCCCAGCACTGAAGTTAAGCCCTTTTTGGCTGGTTTAGTACTTATGGATGGGTGATCGCCTGGGAATACTGCTCCTTGTTGCAGGCTTCTTCTTTTCTTTCATTCAAGATTTTTCCTTTTAAAGTAACTTCGCTGACGGCCAGAAAATTATGCGTAATTAAAATGCAAGTAAGCTAATTTTTATTGACAACATATTATTGGCCGAGATCGCGCGTTTGTTCAGGAGAGCAAAGTCAGAATATTAATGCCTTTAACAACATTTTGTGTCAATACGATTGGAATTCCTTAACTCACTATTGGTTCCTGCGAAAATGTACTAAATTTTACAACAGCTTCCCATTAGCGTTCTGTCAAGGAAAAAACCTGAAAACTCTGCGCAATCCGTGGCTCACAACTGGGCTCTTGAAATTATGTTAAAAGCAAATATAGACTTTATCAATTATTATTAAAAAGACTACTCATAAGCGTGAATCAAGCTATCAGGCCTTTGAAAAATAAATTAACTTGTCTCGTTCGTGTAGCCAGGAGAAATTATTGTACCAGCAAATTAGACATAACTAAATCTAACTTGATCAACAAGCGCGTCGCTAAAGCACCATATACTGTAAGCTTCTCTAACCATAGAGTGAAAATCAGCAATCCCGTTGACATTGCAAATAACCTCTCTGATTACATAACCAACATAGAGCCAAATTTGTCACGTAGAATCCCAGAGCGATACTCCGGATTTCAAGTGACAGAGATGACCCAATGGGGGTAAAAGTCAAAACCCCTAGTTGCCGTTTTCCTTCTGAATCCATTCGTTGCGTTCGGTTCACGAATAAAGCAATATTGTTAAACCATTTAACGCTAAAAGGTTCCTGGACATGATTATATATCCATGGAAATAATTCATCAGTCGCCTCAAAATAATGTTCAGCCCCGTGTATAAGTATTAAACATTTCGTTGTCTACTGGTATGTTTCCTGGATCACTTAAAATCGCTAAAGTAATTCTGGCATTTAAGACAGATGATCCAACACTTGGTAAGTACAGGCCAATATCAATTCTTCCAGCTTTTTCTAAACTTTTTGAGAAAGTCATGTTCAACCGACTGATCGAATTGTTAAACTTGTATAATATTTTATACTAGAAACAATTTGGATTCCGTAATAATCATTCGACTGCATTAGCTTTAATCGATTTAATAAGAAATATATCTCCAGCTATCGACAGAAATGAATCAACTACTACTTTGTCGTGGTTCAAAAGCTATCTTAAAGGAGCTGTGTCACGAAATTCAGCCAAATTAGGAAATTGCAAAATTCCATACCAGAAACAACAGATGCCGCGGATGGGCAAAACAGAAGAAAAAAAAAACTGTTCAGCCTAACAGTTTTTCAAAGTTGATCCCTGCTGCTTGCAACTTCAAAAAAAATGCTCAGGAGACATATTTGTTTGTCTGGGATCTCTGATTTTGTCATTTACATGTAATTTCTTTGCTTACTTTAAGTTCCATAACGATTGAGGGCGAGTAATTGGCAAAATTAAACAAAATGAACTGGACTGCCGTGACACAGCCCCTTTAAAGGTCAAATGAACCAAAAATTCGACATTTTTTATGTTAGCTCAATTCTAGTGAAATATGTTTAATATGAACCGAATAAACCTACTATGAAGTTTCAGCTAAATTGAAGCAAGCATCTCCGAGATATTCGTAATTAAAAATTGTTATTTTTTGGCCCTTATGTTCGTAGAGCGGTCGCAAAAATTGTCGGTAAAGACAGCTTGTGACGTCAATGTTGGTCAGGTGAAAAAAAAAGCGGGAAATTCAAAACAGTGTTTTTCGAGTCGACTTGGCGCAGAATTTGTGGTGGTTTGTGCGGCCATAAACCTAGAAAGAACAAGCAATTTGTCTTCAAAATTTGCAAGCTGTGGTTATAACCTTATTATTTAACTTTCTCAAGGAATACATCATAGTAAAACGGACTTCAACGACGGCATTAATTTCCTAACGCTGTACTGGAAATGTGCGTGCGTAGGACCAATTTTTTTTAAGATGTATTCACAAAATGTGTTCATATAAGGATGTTTCTGGATATTTTAGGTCCGGAGCTCCACTGTGGACACAAAAACAAAATATCTTTGTATAGTGATTTGTCCAAAGAAATTCACGCTTGCACACAATGTGTTTGAAGTCATTGAACTTTGTCGCAGTCGAGCTGATATTTTAAAACCCACGCTCGATCGGACACTTGTCCTTCGCAGAACACTAAATAATAAACAAAATCCCCAGTGTAGAAGCTTTGGCGTTGATATGTGGGCAGAAAAAGAGTTAATCTTTATCTACTAAAATCTTCCCCAAAATTGGTTTCAAAGCAACTACAGATTTTTTAAACTTGATCGTTTCGCGTAGATAAAGTTTGCTTTGTGTTGTCGAGTTGAACATGCATAGCACTTCTCAAAAACCGAGTAAGATTTCCTTCAAACAAAGTTGAAGTTACATTATTGCAAAAACTTCTCTCCAGTTTTGTATATGATTTAATTACCGACTGATGTGACTTTAAGGACCATAGACGCCACTTTACGCTCGCAAAGAGAGGCGACAAGCAAAGAACAATTCCGTCATGCATAAAATTCAGCTTAAGTGAACTAAAAAAAGGTTCAATAAGGTTGCAAAACAACAAATTTCCACTCAAAAAACATAAGGCTTAAGGCTCTTATACCTGCTGACAATGAAGAAGTGAACTTTCTGTCATTAGAAAGTACAGAAAACTGCACATAAGGGTTTGTTTTGCTCGCTTCAGTCAAATCCAGCTCCAGCAATTGTTTACGGGCAAAGAGTCAATTGTTTTGAAGTCACTGCCGGCAGTTGTCGTTCTCAGCTTCTTCACAGCGAGTGAAAAGGAAAATTTGCGTACAGAAAGAAAACAAAACTACGTAATTAAAAATGAAAAAGAAAAAAAATACTCTGACTACCATTACTTTAGCAACAGAAAAGTGATCGAAGTAGTCTGGTCCTCTCGAGTAAGCTTACTAGCTTTCTATAGTTCCGAGGAAGTTTTAAGCGCTTAAGTTTGTTCACTCGCAAGCGTTAGCATTACGGTTCTTTGAAATAAGACAAGGATAAAGCTGGTTCTGCAAAGGTAAATGAATCTGGGCATGTAAAAAAACTAACCGTAACTACTAATAACAGAATACAAGCGGGCTTTAATTCAGCCCGGCGAAAGAAGGCGAAGCACTGGACACAAAATCAATTCACAAATCGAATGAACAATTATCAGAAAAATACAAACCTCTATTGAAATGTTCAAAACATTTTATTCCTCCTCAGACTGACGGAATGATCTGTTTTTACTCTAACATTGGTTGTTCTGAATCCAAAGTAATTTTCAAGTGACGCAAAAAAAAAACAACAACAAAAACGAAAAAAAGCCTTTACAAGGAGCAAAAGTTCGCACCTCGTGTATTTCATTCAGTCTCAGTCAGAACTCTCACAGAGCGAGAAAAACAAACGCAGGAGATAAGGGATGCGCAGAAGCTTGCGCAGAACGTTTTTTCGCCCTAAAAGAGAAACATTGACGTCACGTACTCTCCAGTCTATCACGCGGCCATTTCAGAAACGTTTTCGTGAAGTCTTCGGAAATGCTCGGATTTTGATCTTTTATCTATAAAGGCTTGGGAAGAAAAATCTTTACCCAGATCTCCCTTAGGATGGTTCTTTTTCGTGTTTGATGAAGGTAAAGCGGCAAAAGAAAATATTTCAATTTTTTGGTTCATTTGACCTTTAAGGACCAGACTCAATTTGTCCAATTTGGGTCCCATCGTTCTCACTGTAGAAAAAATTCATGTTGCGTCCCACAGGTCCCAATCCTTAGACCTGTTCTTTTCTAACTCAATTTTTACTGTTTGCTGACGATACAAATATTGTTTGTTCTCATAGGGATACGGACCACCTTATTTCTATTGCTAAAAATGCACTTGCAAAAGCAATAGTTATCGTAAAATTTGACTGAAACGAACTTTTGAGTCTAATTTTTGTTCCAAGGCAAAAGAAAGTTCATGTTAATATTCCTCTTGATATGGAAATTACTGTGATCAAGCAAGCCGTTTACACTAAATTCTTAGCCGGGCTCCCACGCGCGCTTCGCCCCAT